CTCAGATACCCACAGACAACCAGCTAGTCATCACAGCCCATCTCTTGGACACATTGACAGGCCAGCAACCCAGCGATACCGCGTGCTGGAGACTACGCAAGAGGAACTGGCATTCTTCCAAATCAACAGGGGTGTAGAAATGCTCCACCTTACACTGTATCGCCGTGTAGTAATCACGAGTCATTTTTCTCCGTACCCGTGGTCAAGCTTTCACCATTCACCCCAAACACGTGGCCCAGCTGCACATAATTCTTTGCGCACCGTTGTCAAACCCATGTATCCCGCCAGTATCCACAATCGCATGCGCACAGCCGACTTTCTGCAAGCCATTTCGGAGAGAGGATCGGCCCGACAACCAAGGGCCGAATGAAAGTCCGGGTCACCTGAGCTCACCTTCGTGTCTTCACCGCGGAAAACTTCAGTCTCTTTAAACACCAACTGTAGCAGAGCGTGCGTAATGGAGGGGATGCAATTGGCTACTTCTGGTCTGCACCATCGGTCGGCGAGTGCGACGTTTGGCGATAGTAAGGGAATTGGAGGTTTTTGCCAGATGCCGCATGGATCGAACACGTCGGGATAGATGCCTCCGACAGTTTGAGCGTTCAACGGAGTGATGAGCTGGAGAAGGCTGAGATGTCCATCACCCGGCTTTCGAACCGTTGACTCTGAGTCTCGTCACAGTCTGGCAACTTCACATCATCATGGCTGCTGCTTTCATACCAGATAGCCTATGGCAACAATTGCGCCAAGTGCCATCGCTGACATTGCGAAACATCACCGCCGGTATCTTCGTGCTCGTAAGTTCACGCAAATCCTGATTTGGCTTTTGCGTCAGCTCACGAAGATTATCAGATCCTGCTTCACGTCTTCTTCAAGGTCGTATACAATCTCTACCTCAGCCCTCTAGCTGGCTATCCGGGGCCGAAGCTCTGGGCCATCTCTCGTCTACCATGGAATCGCGCAAACATGAAGGGTCGGATCAGCTGGAAGATCCGCGAGCTTCACGACAAATACGGTCCTGTTGTGCGCATCGCTCCTGATGAGCTCTCTTACACGACTTCGGGAGCGTGGAAGAAGATATATGGACAACGAAACCCTGAGTTCGTGAAGGCTCTTGACGGTAGAGGTATCGCGCCTGCGAGTATAGGTGGCCAACGTAGCTTGATGACTGAGCATCAAGATCGACACTTGAGGTTGAGAAGAGCTATCGATCCGGCTTTTAGTCAGAGGGCGCTGTGAGTCTATCCGACGAAATGCAGGCATGCTATGACAATACTGATTTCATGCCAGCCGCGAACAAGAGAGCTACTTCCAAGACCACTCGGATAACCTCGTCCAGAAGCTGAAGGAACGAAGCAAAGACGGCGCCGTCGACATGACTACATGGTACAACCTCGTCGCATTCGATATCGTATCCGACCTGGCTTTCGGCGAACCATCAGGCTGCGTCAACAACCCTGAGCAACCATGGATCAAAGCTATCCTCGCTCGCGCAAAGGCTATCGTTTGGTTCCAGCTTGCCGTGCAGTACGGTTTCATGGGTCTACTCAACTGGATGACGCCCAAATACGTCACCGAGTCGAGGAAGAAGCACATCGCGATGACAGAAGCCAAGTTGAAGGCGCGTGTCGAAGCCAAGAACCCTGGGAAGGATTTCATGTAAGTTCAATCGACTCCTTACCCAGTCGAAAGACTACTGACTCAGTGTCTGATCAGGTCTTACATCCTCGAAAACGACGAGAAGCTCAACCACCTTGAACTGGTCATGCTCTCCTCCAACTTCATCGTAGCTGGCAGTGGTACATCGGCAGGCGGCATGTCCGGCCTAACATATCTTCTCCTGCGCAACCCAGATAAACTCGAGAAGCTCAAGCAAGAGATACGTGGCCTGTTCAAAAGCCGCGCAGACATGACCCTTCAAGCAGTGACCAGCTGCAAGTACCTGCGCGCTTGCCTCAACGAGGGCATGCGTCTCTACCCACCAACTCCAGGCTCACTGCCACGCTTCGTCCCTGGAAAGGGCGAAATGATCGAGGGCAAATGGGTTCCTGGTGGTTATGCTGTTGCTGTCAATCAGCTGGCAGCCGGACACTCTGAGCGCAACTTCAAGAAGGCTCGTGAGTTCCATCCGGAACGTTGGCTAGATGACGCACCCGAAGAGTTCAAGGATGATGACCGATCTGCTGTCCAGCCGTTTTCGTACGGCCAGAGGGCTTGTATCGGACGATCTATGGCTTATGCCGAGATGTCGCTTACGATGGCGAAATTGGTACGGTTCTTTGACTGGGAACTTCATGACCCTGGTAGCGACTGGTGGAACAAGCAGGGCACTTACTTGGTGTGGGAGAAGCTGCCTTTGATGGTCAAACTGACGCCTGTGTCTGATCTGGGTGAATAGCAACAGCCAGACATGGAGCTATGGATGCGCTCTTCATGTACTGATCTCGCATAAAGTCATTGAGATGGTCAAAAGTATATGAGATAGCTGTGATACAATTCCAACGAACCTATACTGTAAACGGAATGACTCACTCCCGACCATTCTCACAAACAACGCCAAGTAGGCGACTTCCAGCCCAAAATCCACAGACATGACTGGGTGCCCGGCCCCTGCTTAGTGCTATGCACGTGGGTAAAAAATGATGCGTCGGAATGAATAGCTCAGTGGCATACTTAAACTTAGAGTGGCGCACTTCTAGATTCACACAGCTTCAACACCAGAAGCTCCTACACCAAAGATGCAAACACACCTTCTCCTCCTAGGCGCAGGCCTTCTCCTTTTGATTCACCTAGCCAATGCCCTCGTTTTCAAGCCCCTCCGCAACTACCTCAAGAGCCGCCATCTAGGATGCGGTCCCGTCCCCGTCGAGCCTTACCACCTCCCCTTCGGCATCGACACCATCCGCCGAAGTCTCCTCGCCGACCGCGAGCAACGCACCCCCGACTTCGTCTTCTCGCGCTTCATGGCCATGAATCGGTACACATGGGCCATATCCCTGCTCGGCACAACCAATCTGATCACGGCCGAGCCACGCAACATCCAAGCCCTACTCGCCACGCAATTCGACGACTTCATCATGGGCACAGCTCGACGCACGAACTTGAAACGAGCGCTGGGGCGCAGTATCTTTGCTGTTGATGGGGTGGCTTGGCATAGAGCGAGGGAGACTATGCGGCCGCTTTTTAGTAGGGAGAACGTGAGTCGGCTCGAGGTGTTGGAGGGGCATGTAAGAAGTTTGTTACGAGTTATTGAGGGGAAAGAGGGGGGGTTGAGGGTTGATGCGGAGGGGAGGGCGTGGTCTGCGCCGGTCAGTTTGGCGGCCTTGTTACCGAAGCTGACGATGGATTCGGCGACGGAGTTCTTCTTGGGGATGAGTACGGGGTCGCTTGATAAGTTGCTTGAGGAGCAGCGACAGGAGAAGGAAGGCGACGAGAAGCATGAAGAAGACAGCTTCGACCATGCATTCGAGCGTATGTTGACCATCCTCGGAACCAGAATGCGTCTTCGCAGCTTCTACTGGCTCTACGGCAACACCGAACTAAACAAATGCATAAACACTCTCCACAACTTCGTCGACCGCGCGATCGACGCCGCAGACCGAGCGAGAAAACAGGGTTCTTCATCTCTCCGCTACGACTTCCTCGAAACACTGCGATCGCGCTGTTCCGACCGCGCTGAAGTCCGCGAGCAAGTTCTTGGTCTGCTAGCCGCAGGTCGAGATACGACAGCATCACTCACATCATGGGTTCTCTACTGCTTAGTGAGGAACCCACAGGTATACAAAAAGCTGCGAGAAGTCATTCTCGCGGAATTCGGGTCTTACTCGAGTACTATCGTTGGCCAGAGTATAACGTTTGAGAAACTCAAGAGCTGCACGTATCTACAACATGTTCTAAACGAAACACTACGATTACATTCAGTAGTACCATTCAACTCCCGCTGCGCCATCCGCGACACCACGCTCCCCACCGGCGGCGGCCCCTCGGGTACAGTCCCCATCTTCGTGCCCGCGGGCACAGAAGTAAACTTCAGCACGCACGTCCTGCACCGCCGAAAGGATCTCTGGGGCGAAGACGCCGATGAATTCATTCCTGAGCGGTGGGAAAAGAGACGGCCGGGGTCAACGTGGCAGTACGTCCCGTTCAATGGGGGACCGCGCATCTGTATTGGGCAGCAGTTTGCGCTTACGGAGGCGGGGTATGTGATTGTGAGACTGGTGGAGAGGTTTGATGTTGTCGAGGGACTGGATGTGGATTTGGAGAGGGATTGGCATAATTTTACGGTTGTGTGTAGTCCCGGCAGCCCGATGAAGAGGGAGGAGGCGGTTTTGTGTCGGTTGAGGGTTGCTGTTGAGTAGATCGTGGTGGCTGTAGACGGGCTGTACCGGTGCGTCGTTTTAGTTGGTTGACTCAACTGTGGCTCAATTCTTGCATGGTGGTGGCAGTGTGAGTGTAGTCACGTGCTGTGTTCTCTCAACCTTGGAACCTCGGGACCTCGGAGCCATCCGCTCGTGACAGAATGTACGCTGAGCCCTCGTTCTTTCCTCTTCCATCAACACCGCCCTCGTAACGATGCCATGCAGCTCCCGAGTCAGTACAACGACCAACGGCGACTAGGCCTCACTAACGAGCCCGGACCGAATGCGGGATCGAAGTACTAGTATCGCCGAGACCAGGAGCCGCGTGGGGTCACAATATCGAGAACAACGAGTGGAGTCACATTCGAGATCAGATGCTCACAGTAAGTCGATCAGCCACGTGGATACACGTTTACTCCCATTGGCTCGTCGACTGCTACATCTGCGACGATGGCAACGATACCAGAACTACCCTATGAACGAAAGAGAATCAGCAATCGAGGTGGAAGTGATTGGTTCGCTTTACTTACGAGGAAGAAGATATCTGTCTATGCCACTACTACGAACCTGTGGCTATGAAGCTCGTCTTTTGAGTACTGGGCAGAAGAACCAGAACGAGCGAACACCGAGCTGAACGTCGAGATGTTGTCCATGATAGTTCTCTTCATCTTCACCAGTGTACGTCAACATCTCCTACACCATCAGGAACCTCCAACATCCTAACCGCGCACAGCCAATACTCTACTTGCTCCTCCGCTCCGTTTACTACCTCTTTTTCCACCCCCTCTCACGCTTCCCAGGCCCAAAACTCTGGGCCATCTCCCGCCTCCCCTGGCACTATGTCAACCTCCGCGGCGACCTCGCATGGCGCATCCGCGACATGCACATCTACTACAACAGCCCCGTGATACGCATCGCACCCGACGAGCTATCCTACACCAGCAGCACAGCCTTGAAGAAGATCGACGGCTCACCCCCACCACGCGAATTTCTAAAGTGTCTGGATGGCCGTGGAATCGCTCCTGCGGTCGTGAACGGTCGTCGTAGTATCGTTACCGAGACGCCTGAGCGCCATGCCGTACTACGGCGTGCGCTTCAGCCAGCGTTTAGTGAACGCGCTTTGCGGGATCAAGAAGATTTCTTTCGGGACCACACTGATCGGCTTGTTGCTCAGTTACGGAAACCGCAATATCATGCTGTAGAGCAGAATATCCTCCGTTGGTTCAGCCTGTTGAGTTTCGACATCATGAGCGACCTGGCCTTTGGACAACCAGCCGGCTGTCTCGACCGCGCCGATGAGCCCTGGCTTGACGTTATTGGTTCGCGCGTCAAAAGCATTGTTTGGTATCAACTCGCTACGTACTACCATATCGAGTGGATACTCAAATGGACGGCACCCAAAGCGGCCATGGAGGCGCGGAAGCGGCATCAAACACTCACCCTCCAAAAGGTACAGCGACGGATTGATGAGGAGCGCGCTGGCACCCGAAAAGGGAAGAGACTGGATTTCATGAGCTACATCCTTGGTAACGAGAGTGAGAATTTGAGTAACATGGATCTTTTTGGTATGGCGAGCGCGTTGATTGTGGCGGGCAGTAACACGACTACCTATACGATGAGCGCATTTGTATTCTTCGTTTGTGGGCATTCGGACGCTTATAAGAAGGTCATTGCCGAGGTGCGGGGTAGGTTTGCGAGCGAAGAGGAGATTACCATGGTTGCTGCTGGTGAGCTGGTTTACTTGAAGGCCTGCATCGAGGAGTCGATGCGTGTATCGCCGCCTACGCCATCAGCTTTGCCGCGCTGGGTTCCAGAGGGTGGAGAGGAGATAGATGGAAAATGGGTACCGGGAGGTGTAAGTATTTGTTCGCGTCTCGGCCATGGCGAGTTTGTACTGACTAGTCGACCAACAGACAGCTGTAGGCGTGCACAATCTCTCAGCCTGTCACGCTCCATGGAACTGGCATCGGCCTCTTGACTTTATCCCAGAGAGGTGGCTGCAGACGAAAGATGGGGAGTTTGCTCGTGATGACCGAGGTGCATCTCGTCCTTTCTCCTATGGTAGACATGATTGCATTGGACAAACGTAAGATCTCTCTTTCCCTTTTCGGTATCGGTGGAACGATTGCTGACTTCATGGTTTTCCAGTATGGCTATGAATGAGATGAGACTGGCTTTGGCTAAGCTCTTCTGGAACTTTGACATCTCGCTCAGCCCAAACAGTGAGAAGTGGTGGATCACACAAAAGTCGTATTTGGTCTGGGAGAAGAAGCCGCTCATGGTATCCATCAGGCCGAAGCGGTAGTCAGAACTTGATTGAGCATCTGTTGTATCAGCACGTAAATCTACAAGGCTATGCATACCGGCAGCGTCAGAACAGTGTACAGAACGCTTGCGTAGGCCTCATGACGGCCAAGTACGCCCTGTACGGTGAATACGGTGAATACGGTGAATACGGGTGATGATGTGTGTGCGTGTATCAGATCCGGACATCGTTGATTTACCTCATGTGATTCGACAGCAGAAAGCCTGTCTTTCCGATAACATTCTTACCAAGCCAGGATTTTGGTTGCGCGTGTTCCGTTGTACTCTTGGAGTGTAGACCAATTATGCGCGATGCGTTTGCAGTGGCACTTTACTCGGCCCGTTACACTTCGGCCCGAGCGTGTTGGAACTAGGATGGGGTCTACCGGTAGATCGTATTGATAGCAGTGGGCGCTCTTCGGCGCTCACATTTGAGTTAGACAGCGGCAAGTAAGATGACCACTCCTTTGACCACGTGGTAGGCGGTCCAGTAGATGAGTATGGAATGTTTACCACGGTCCACGGTGGGCAGCAAGTTGGGATAGTCACCTCTCTGCCGAGCTTACAATGGTCAAGAAATATCACCTTCTGTCCCACTCCCAACCATCTTCACTCGTCGGCCATTCTGCGTGATTGAGACCAGCTTTGGTCTAAGCCATGGCAACACCAACCTCCATTGCCGACCGCCCAAAGCGAGAGCTGAAGGTGCTTTCATTGGGGATGACGCGTACTGGTGGGTTCCTCCAACGTTTGCTTTTGCTATTGTTACAGCCGTCGGGAGAAGCTGACTGAAGCGAGGGTAGGGTCGGCCTCCATTACTCAAGCTCTCGAGATTCTCGGATATCAAGGCGTGCACCACGGCATCCAGGCCATTAGTTCCCCAATTGAGTGGGAGTTCTTCAGCAAAGCATGCGATGCCTTTTACCCTTCGCTGCCGACCTATACAGGCGCACCTTTCACACGCGCCGATTGGGACGTTATCTTTGGGCCTTATGAGGCCGTCACCGACATGAGCTCGTTCTTCGCGACGCAGCTCATAGAAGCCTATCCCGAGGCGAAGCTAATCTTGGTGGAACGTGATATCGACGAGTGGTACGACAGTATGGAGGCGGCCATCTTCAGCACGACATGGGGGCTTCGCGCTGATCTCGTGATCAACGTACTGGGACCACTGTACGGTCTCAATGGCGGCAAGACGATTCGCAAGATCATGCTGGGCTTCTATGGTGTGCGTAATGTGCATGAGATGCGGCGGGTTGCCAAGGATCGATATAGGAAACACTATGCAGAAATCCGTGCTGCGGTGCCTGCCGAGCGCTTGCTCGAGTTCCGCTTGGAGGATGGCTGGAAGCCGCTATGCGAGTTCCTCGAGAAAGAGGTGCCAGAGGAGCCATTCCCTGTCAAGAACAAGAGAGACGAGCATGTGAAGCGGGTAAGGCAGAAACAGGACATGTTTTTCAGACACGTTGCAACAAGGTTTGCCAAGAAGGCGATACCCTCCGCCCTGGGTGTCGGCGTTCTCGGTCTGGCTGTGTGGAAGAGCAGGTCTGGTGCGCGGTGGGCTGAGATACTGAGTACTTTCAGGGAGACTTTGGCAAAGGCCTGGTGACGGGTTCCGATGGTTGTGTCGGCGAAGCGGCTGATCGGCAGAGTGGGACAGGGGAACGGTCGCGAAGGTTCTCTTGGGCAAATCTCAAGCTATCCGGAATGGAGCATCAAACAACGCACTATGGTGTTTTTCGCACTTCTTGCTTTCAAAGAGGCCAGTTTTACCTACAGGCGAATCCTTTCACATGTGCAAGTATGGTGACTGGTCGTGCACGGTGGGCAGGGTGCTTTGATCCGTCCTTCTGCTAGGCAGCTATGAAGATTTGAAGCAGCGTGTTCACACCCGTGGCAAAAAGATTGAGGAAACGTTGCATATCGACCAAGGAGTCATCGAGGTGAATGGTGTTGGCGGTGCGGTGGAGCCGGTGTCTCGTGTAGATCGGTCTGCCTAGCGACTGGAAGACCACCGGAAGGACACCTGGAACTTGGGACAGACAACGAGGGCCGTGTCCGAGATTACCGACGCAGCGACTCAGACTGGCTGGGGTTCGCGCATGGAGGAAACGGCGATTTTGCAATACAGCTGCATTGATTCGCGACTTGGACGTTGAGATGGTAGAGCACCGAGGTTTGTAGATGTTCGCGTTCGCTTAGATGGAGGGGTAAATTGGCCTAGAGGCACGATAGCAGATAACGACGGAGCTGCGACTTCCCCATCATCGCCTGCACAAGAAGCTACTGTGGCCTATAGGTCTGCATAGCGCGGAGTCACACCTGCTACACGGGCGCAGTGAAACCACAGTGCTAGCGAACTACACGTGTCCTGTAGCCAGCTGCGTCAAACGCAGGTGAAATTGAGGCTGATGCGGGCGGTTGGGGCAAAGTGAACGGGCCATGGGCGAGGTGCGCGCTAGACCGTTTGCGGAGCAAGATCCTCGAGATCGCAAGGTGTTCTTTCGAAATACTTCCACGACGTGTCCATATAACAGTAGCCGCCCACCGCTACTTGCCCTCCCTCCTCCACTCACCTTGCAACTGCAACCACCGCAACTCGCCTTTTGTTTCTTTCCCAGCGATACCCGGAGAGCCCCGTCTACTCCACACATTGCGAGCTCCCAGAGAGTTACGCCCGCACTTGCACCTGGCATCTAGGCCATACCCCCAGTCTTGACGACTACACACACATCACAATGGCACGAAGCTCGCGGGGCGCCAACCAGCGCTCAACATGGTCCATTGCCTTCTACCTCCTCCTCGTCCTTGTCGGCGGTCTGATGCTGGCTAAGACAGCACACGCCCAGGACCAGGAGCCCATCAAGGAGGACGCCAATGGTGTCTCCGGCCCCGTCATCGGTATCGATCTGGGAACCACCTACTCTTGTGTCGGTATCATGAAGAACGGCAAGGTTGAGATCATCACCAACGACCAGGGTAAGTCTGCGTGCTCGACCATCTCACACACCCAAACTGACATGTGTCCTCTCCAGGTAACCGTATCACACCTTCTTGGGTAGCCTTCACCGATGACGAGCGTCTTGTCGGAGACGCCGCCAAGAACCAGTTCGCCTCCAACCCCGAACGCACCATCTTCGATATCGTACGTACACTCCCGTATACCCTTGTTGCAAGGCTGGCATACTGACTGTGGAGCAGAAACGTCTCATCGGTCTCAAGTACAAGGAGAAGTCTGTTCAGAATGACATCAAGCACTTCCCCTTCAAGGTCGTCAACAAGAGCGGTCAACCCAAGGTTTCCGTTGCGGTTCACGGCGAGGAGAAGACCTTCACCCCCGAGGAGGTCTCCGCCATGGTTCTGGGCAAGATGAAGGAGGTGGCCGAGAGCTACCTTGGCGAGCCTGTCAAGAACGCCGTCGTTACCGTTCCCGCCTACTTCAACGACGCTCAGCGTGCCGCCACCAAGGACGCCGGAACTATCGCTGGTCTCAATGTTCTCCGTGTTGTGAACGAGCCCACCGCTGCCGCTCTGGCTTACGGCCTCGACAAGGTAAGACATCAGCATCCTCCGTTGGAGCAACTCAGCTAACGCACCACAGACCGACCAGAAGGAACGCCAGGTTCTCGTCTACGATCTCGGTGGTGGTACTTTCGATGTTTCCATCCTCACTATCGAATCTGGCGTTTTTGAGGTCCTGTCTACCGCTGGTGACACTCATCTCGGTGGTGAAGATTTTGACAACCGTGTCATCAACTACTTCACCAAGAAGTACAACAAGGAGAACGACGTCGACATCACCAAGGACTCCAAGACCATGTCCAAGTTGAAGCGCGAGGTTGAGAAGGCCAAGCGTACTCTCTCTTCCCAGAAGACCACCAAGATCGAGATTGAGTCTTTCTTCAAGGGCAAGGACTTCTCCGAGACCCTCACCCGCGCCAAGTTCGAGGAGCTCAACAACGACCTCTTCAAGAAGACCCTTAAGCCCGTTGAACAGGTTCTCAAGGACGCCAAGATGAAGAAGAGCGAAATCGACGACATTGTTCTCGTTGGAGGTTCCACTCGTATTCCCAAGGTCCAGGCCATGCTTGAGGAGTACTTCGGAAAGAAGGCCCGCAAGGATGTCAACCCCGATGAGGCTGTCGCTTACGGCGCTGCTGTTCAGGGTGGTATTCTCACCGGTGACGCCGCCACCGGCGACGTCGTTCTCATGGATGTCAACCCTCTTACCCTCGGTATTGAAACCACTGGCGGTGTCATGACCACTCTTATCAAGCGTGGTACTATCATCCCCACCAAGAAGAGCCAGATCTTCTCCACCGCCGCCGACAACCAGCCCGTAGTCTTGATCCAGGTATTCGAAGGAGAGCGAGCCATGACAAAGGACAAGTAAGTATCTACCGCGCCATTGCATGTCCACTACAAAGATCGATTTGCTAACCTATGTCTGCAGCAACCAACTTGGAAAGTTCGAGCTTACCAACATCCCTCCCGCGCCCCGTGGTGTTCCCCAGATTGAGGTCACTTTCGAGCTTGATGCCAACGGTATCCTCAAGGTCGGCGCTATCGACAAGGGCACTGGTAAGGGTGAATCCATCACCATCACCAACGACAAGGGCCGTCTCAGCAAGGAAGACATTGAGCGCATGGTTGAGGAGGCTGAGAAGTACGCCGAGGAAGACAAGGCCAACCGCGAGCGCATTGAGTCCCGCAACAAGCTCGAGAACTACGCCTACAGCCTCAAGAACCAGGTCAACGACGACGAGGGTCTTGGTGGCAAGATCGAGGAGGAGGACAAGGAGTCTCTCCTCGAGGCCGTCAAGGAGACCCAGGACTGGCTCGAGAGCAACGCCGCCGAGGCCGCCGCTGAGGACTTTGACGAGCAGTTCCAGAAGCTATCCGACGTCGCCTACCCCATCACCTCCAAGCTCTACGGCGCTGGCGGCCCCGGTGGTGACGATGAGATGCCCGATGACCACGACGAGTTGTAGATGGTTGACT